GTAAGGGTCAAATGCAGGAGGGAAGAAGCAGAAAAAATAAAGAGAAAAAAAAAAAGAGGAGAAGAAGAGGAAGTTGAAGGAAAGAATTGAAGAAAAGGAGAGAAAAAAGACAGAAAGATAGATGGTGACAGGAGAAATGGTGTTCAGCAGGGTGCTTTAACCACACACAAATCTCTAGGACTTTTGGGGACTGGGATTGGTGGATCCCTCAAAGTAAGGAACTCCTTAGGAGCCTGGGCAAAAGCAAGATCTCACCTCTGCCTAATATAGAAAGAAATCAGCAGTAAGTTGCAGTAGGGACCTACCAATACCTTCTTTGTAAAGAATGAAGCTAGAAGGGCACCCTAGATCATGAGCTCATGGCCTCTTTGAGCCAGATCAGTGCCATGAACCCCCATTCAGCTCAATTTTATGATCACCTAGCTCTCAGAGGGAAGAAAACAAGGGGAAATAATAAAAATAGATAGAGGAAATTAGTAATATATAAGAGAAATCAGAAAAAACATGATAGCTTAGCTGTGGTATGAGAAATTTATGTGAGAAAGATGAGAAAAGCAGAGACATCTCTACCAAAAGAGAAGAATAAGGAGATAAATGAAAAATAGAGGAGGCCTTGCTATTGAAGAAAGTAAAAATAATAAAAATATAACCAAACAAAAAACAAAAAGCAACAAGAACATAACAAAAAAGAAAAAAGAAAAGAAAAAACTAAGAAAGCAAAAATGTAAGACTGTATGTATATATGTGTGAATCTATCTATCTATCTATCTTGCCTGGTTATATTACATTGTCTATAATAACTTGCCTGGATAGCAGATAGTGTTGTGGTGTTGGGAGATGGAGCTCATACATGGATTTTACTGTATATGATACAAGTCAGAAGCCCCTCTCTAGCTGCAGAGGAGACTGAATCCTATCTTCTTGACTTCTTTGCCCTAAATCATGGCCTGTTTGCTTTGTCAGAATTCAGTCCCCACAGGATTGGAGTCTTAAAGCTTTTACCAGATTTGTTCAGAGGCTTGTCAAACAGTGCCCCCTGATAACAAAGTGGCCTTCCCAAGGAATATGGGGTCATTTAGCTCACCCCAAGGATGGTTGCTTCAGGTCAGCAGGTGTGCCAGAGAGCCTGCCATGCATTAGACCCCTGCAGACTGTTCCTCCCACATGAATGGCCTTCCACAATGGTGGTACCCTGCCAGTAGCCAAGCATGTGGGAGAACCATCCTGCCTGGTGTTCAATCCTGGCCTCCAGATGCTGTTCAAATTTTCTCACTGCTGCAGTGAGCAGCTTAGTCCAAAATCAAAAAACTGCAGGACAAACCTTTCTTGTCTGTAGTTTTCCATGGGAGAGCTGGGCAGCTGGCCAGCCTCTGCCTGTACCAAGCACTTGCCTTTTGTGTTGGTCTTCCTCAGTTCTATACCACCTCGTTTGGTCCTGAAGTCTCCTACTGCTTTGCTGTGCTCCCAGAGTGATGTTTCTGGGTAGATCCCCCCAGCCAGAGGTGGCTGAAGTCCACTTTCCCCTGTCCCACCTCAAGTAGTTGGTAAAGTGATGTCTTTAGTTTACCATATTGTTCTGAGTCTGAAAGTTAATTTTTTTAAAATAAAATATTTGTTATTCGAGATTTTTCTATAAGAACTATATTATAGTTGGTAACGTTTTCAAGCCATCCAAAGAATATGCCAACTTATTTAGAAGAATTAGTTTTAGTAAGAGGAGCCTCAGCTCCAGAGGGTGGTCGTGTGTTATGGTAGGGAGGAAGAATGGATGGCTAAGTTTTCTCTTTAATGTTTGTGAGAGAATGGCCATCTGTAGGCAAATTTTGGAAATGGGTTAAGTTTTCCACTGGCCCCTCTGCATATCTCCTGATCTTCTAACATCCCTCTCCTTTGCTGCCAGGGCATGACTAGAAAACAATGTGGTGTGTGCTGTAATGGAGACATGTGCGGGGTGTCAGATGGAGAGCAGTGGGCTGGTTCATGCTAATGTATGACTCAATGTTTCCACCCCATGACCTTTCAGAGTGCATTTATAAATGAAATGTGTGTCAAAGTAAGTTAATTTAAAATTGATATTAAGTTCAGGTTTCAAGCAGAGAATAAAATGGATTAAAGAAAATTTAAGTATTATGGACAAAGATCCATGTGGTTGGGTTGGGTCTGCTTTGAGGTTTCTCTGTCAAGAGATTTGTTCTTTTTCCTTTCTTTGATTCTGAAAACTGGGATCTTGTTCTAATATGTCTCCAAATCTCAGTTTACAAAGTGTATTTTTTTCTATTTTATGAAATTATCTCTATTAGATAAAAGTTAAAAAGTGGCAGATTTCAACTCAACTGGTGTTTAATGGTATAATGAGCTTCTCATAATTTCCATTCATTTAAGCTCAGAATGCTGCTGAAGTGAAGGCTGTTGTAGATGGTATTTTTGAATTATTTGGGAGGTATTTCCTAACTCCTAAGGTTTTATTGATTATAAGATGCAAATGCTTTGGGATGTAGTATAGTGGTTCTCTAGTGCAGTGGTTCTCAACCTTCCTAATGCCGTGGCCCTTTAATACAGTTCCTTTGGTTTGTGACCCACAGGTTGAGAAACGCTGATCTAGTGGGATGTAGTGGGACTTTGTTTTGGATTCACATTGTGGTGTTGCTATAACCACATGTTTAAGACTTTGACCTTGTTTTAACTACATTTGCAAAATTCTGCAGTTTTCTACCTAGTATTGCCCTAATCTCCAGTCAGTCAGGAATACTGAACAGGACAGACATAAAAGATCAAAAATATTTTTATAAGAAATGTCATTTATTAAAAAATAATAATTATGTATAGTCAAGGCTCATTAAGGACTTAAGGACTTAACTGGCTCATTACTTTATAATTTTTACCATGGAAAAAGGAACTTGTGGAAAACTTAGTTATATGTATTAAAGACATGAAATCAGATACTTTGGCTAACTTAGGTTTTCTTTATGTCTTTGCTAAAAAGCATGCCTTCTAGAAAAATCTTTTCTAAGCTGAAAAACCATTATAGAAGGATTTGTTTCCTTGACTTTTTATTTTGCTTACCTTTAATTTCTGGTACTCATGTATTTTTGGAAACCCACTGTGAATTTTTCAGTGAAAGGATATATTTTTAAAGGCTGTCAAGTTCACCTGGATCTTATTTTAGTTCACAACAGTGTCCTCTACTTTTCATTGCTGAGATGAAAGAACAAAGCAGTGTCAGCAGTCTTGACGGGACTTTTATGTAGGATGGTACTTGTCATAAGAGGGTCAGCATGGAAATGGAAAATTAAGACTATACACTGAAGGGCATAGCTTCTCACACAGATTAGGTCTGGGCTATGTAGGAAGTTTACCTTGGAAATATCCTGTCTATGTAGATTTGTCTGTGTTAGAGGGAATCAAATTAGTAGGTGAAGTGATTGAAAACAAACCCAAACCCAATCCAAGCCAAAACAATATATTTCTGTTCTAGAAGTGCATTTGAGAGAAATCATTTGGCAATAGTGCTTGGAGCCTTTCTTGAAACATAATCTCCTACATGTCAGCTGACTAGCTAGAAAAGAGACCATGTTTCTACTTTTAGAACAGAAATAAAACCAGTGAAAAGGAGAGAGAAGCAAGGTAGAAAAGGGCTAAATTGTATGGTTTTGTGACTTTATATAGGTATATCATATGATAATAACATTTGAAACCTTCATTGGAGGAGAAATTCAAATAATATATTTTCATTTAATACAATTTGAATAGTTCTTTTTTCAGGGCAAAATGCTTTTAAAAAGTAAAGGAATTGGACAGCGCCTGTGGCTGAAAGGAGTAAGGCGCCGGCCCCATGTGCCAGCCCCCATTTGGCAGGTTCAAAGCCAACCCCGGCCAAAAACTGCAAAAAAAAAAAAAAAAAAAAAAAAAGTAAAGGAATTGTGGACACTTTTATAAGTGGCTTGTGATACAATTAAACATAAACTGGGAACAAGGACATCTTTGACAGTCTTGAAGAGATGAAGTGTCCCCAAAGCAATCCATTTGGATTCTATTCAATAAAAGAACTATCTAGAAATGGTTTACATTTCAGAAAGTGTACCCTATCTGTGCAATCAACAATGCTAGTGAGTTTTATATAAAACCCTCGACATTTACTGATGTTTTTAGTAGATGAATAAATAATATAGCTACTTGATAAATGTTAATCTGAATGTGTTTGATATGCCACATATGGTCATATATGTGTGTTCTTTTTTTTTTTTTTTTTTTGAGACAGAGCCTCAAGCTGTCCCCCTGGGTAGGGTGCCATATGTGTGTTCTTAAACAAAAAATCTCACTGAATTGATTCTCAAGGATTATGTTAATGCCTTAAAGAATGGCCTGTAGTTCCTTTTGTTATTTTTCTTACTTTGTTTTATCCAAACATCGATGCCTTCTCTCTTTTTATACCAACTTCGCAAATTTATATTCATTGCTTTCCTGTGCAAGAACGTAAATTGCCACTAACGTTCTTTTCCAATCAAAACGCTCAAATAAACAATTTCTAAAACAAGAAAAGACATATCACATGCCTCCTAGAGTTTTACCTGGCCCCCGAAGTCATCATGTTATGTCATTATTAATAAGAACAGGCAAAATACAGGCATGGGTGCTTTAGTTCTATGATTTCACAGAAGTTATGAGTTGCATGCTGAAAGCTACGTTTCACCATTCTATTCACATAAGACTACTGATCAGATGTGAACCTGCCTGGGATGAGTTACTGACAGTCATGAACATGCTAGTGTAGATTAATTTGTTAGAGGACCTAAGTCCAGATAGCATGACAGCAGTGAACATTTGGGGAATATTTTTTTTTTCTGATGGTGGATTTGGGACCCTGATTCTCTGAGGGCTATGACTGATATCAGGAACAGGTGCCTGAATACAAGTCTTACCTACTCTAGGATTTTCATGTATTTTTTTCTTTAGGAAACATTTTTCTTTATTAATAAGCATCTTCTTGTGTTTGTGCATAGGTGGCATGGCTAATGAAACACCAATCACCCTAAATATGGACCCACAGGATCTGCAGGTCCAAACATTCACTGTGGAGAAACTGCTGGAACCTCTCATAATCCAGGTATGAAAACTACAGAAATTATAATGTGTGCTAACTGTGGAAGAACTAAAAATATGGGAAAAATAGATAATGAGGCAAGGAAAGATTTGATTTTTATACATAGTACATGAATATTTCATCTAAAATTGTCCTTTGGTTGGTTGATTGCAATGGCTCATGCTTGGAAGCTGAGGTGGGTGGATCGTTGAAGCTCATGAGTTGGAACCACCTTGAGCAAGAACGAGACCCCATCTCGAAAAATATAGCTGAACATGGTGGCGGGGACCTGTAGTCCCGGCTACTCAGGAGGCTGCAGCAAGAGAATTGCTTGAGCCCAAGAGTTTCAGGTTGCTGTGAGCTATGATGCCATAGCACTCTACCAAGAGTGACAAAAGGAGACTTTGTCTCAAAAAAAAAAAAGTCTTTTATTTAATGTTATTAAAATGCAAAAAAGTACACATTTAGTAATAATAGTAAAATTCTGAAAATTTCTCTCCAGGTTCTCTTTTGACAGCAATAGCTGTAGTAATATGTATATATAATTTTCAAAGTTAACTTTATATAAATTATCTTATTTGGTAATCATGAAAACAGAGAGAGGCAAGTAGCATGGTTAAAATCATGTTTATTATGTAGATGATGAAACCAATGCTTGTCCCCAGGCACCTAGTTGCTCATTTGTCAAATACGGAATTATCTTTAAAATACCAAAACGTAGGAGAAACGTAGCTATTTAAAGGAATTCTGTGATAAAGTCTCCTTTAAATATGTATAATAATTTCCTGACTTACTTATAAATCCAGATTTTATGTATCTGATTTTCTTAGAGCAGCGCTTGAAGAAACTTACCCAATGGTACAGATTTAAATTTTTTGTCCGTAGTTCAAAATTTGTGAGGGAACTCACCTTTGGGTCTCCCTATATCATGCCTCCTACTATGAGGTTTAAGTCCTTTTTTCTAAGGACTTGAAGAACTCAAGAGTTATTTGGGTTAGAAGCTATCTTGACCTTATCACAAATATTTAAAAATGTTTTGCTTATCTTCTTTGTGAGATGGATGGGAGGGGACTAGCTCTGAGAATAGACTTCATACAAGTTTTTCTTAGCACAAGTTGGTGTCTGCTGCTGAGAAAGCAATCAAAACACGTGCCTTGCTGATGGCAGCATAATCGTCAACTTTGGCAGTGTTAATAGCACTAATATCTAGTAAAAAATTGAGACCAGCTAACTGTGGACACTCCACTGAAGTCCCTTTCTCAAAATGGTTTCGTGTTACAAAGAAAAAAGCTCAATTATTTTTTCTAACAAGGTTCACTGAAAAAAATTGGAAACCTAAAAATACCCCCTCCAAAATAGAATAAAAAACATTCGTAATTTTACCACCCACAGGCAAACGTTAATGTTTTGATGAATTTACTTTCAGTATAGCACAATTATAGGTGATTTTTATTTTCTCAGTAATTTGCGATATTAAGGAATATATCTTCTTTATGTGTATCCTTATATGTATATGTTAACATGGCAAAGATGGAACTGTATATGTAGGTCTTATCCAATTTTTCCCTTTGAAATGCTATTTTAAAATTTCCCCAGTCTTTGGAAGCATGACTTAATAAAATTACTGTTTAATTATACATCCTATGGCCACACCATGGTTTTTCAAAGTAGGATATTTTTTGACATTTAGAGGTGATTACTTTGGATCTGACTTAGAAATAAGTCTTGTACCCACGACTGGCTTTTTCTCAGAGTTAGAGCACTGTCAGTTGAGGGTTGGTATATACTTCCCAATGAGGATTTTCTGGGATATGGCTGTACCGTAACCAAGGTGCAGCAAGACTTTCATAAGTTTTTGTACCCTACATGTGACTGCGGCATCATTTCTGAGGTTTTAAATGAGAAGATTGTTTTTAGATCTGCATTAGTATTTATTTCAAGAACATTGCCCATGCAAAGGCGAGCATTCCTGTTTATCGCATGCGCTGTTCTGCAAGGCAAACCTTCATTACAACCTCCAACTTCATATATTGACCCAAGTCAAGTTCCATGGCTGTCTTCTCCATTTTTCAAAGAGCATTGGATAAACACTTTCAAGTGCTTGGAATCTCCTTCCAGAACGTAAAACCCACTCTTCTCCATCGATCAAGATCAATGAAGTCAAGGACGTGTCTAACATTACATCATAGCACATCCGATGCCTCACTTTCTCTTCCATAGAAAATAGAAGTGGGCTGTATAAAGTGATATATGGAGCAATTGCAGCTGCCTGAGGACTGAGAGGCAATGTGCCTAAGCCCTAGCTCTCCCCTGAAGATGGCGAGTTCGGTGGTCTTACTGATACCATTTGTTTTTAAATATTTTTATTAATCTGCAATTTTAGTAAAGTACACATTTCCTTTTTAAAAAAATTTCTATTTTTTTGTTATTCTAAATACTGATGTGGTGAACATCCTTGCATATTAATTTTGTCATCAATTTATATAATTTTCTAAGGATTAGGTGCTAAAAGTTAAAGTGGCTCAGATCTGAGAATTTTGGGGCTTTTTGTATATATCACCAATTTTTTTTTTTTTTTTTTTTTT